TGGGGGGGGGGGGTCAAAAATGGGATGAAAAGGTGGGAAAATGGGGTTGGGGGGGGAAGGTGTCCTCTCCATCCCCCCCCTCCCAACATGGCGCTGTGTCCCCAGGGGCGCCATGGAGGAGCTCCAGGAGGGGGGGGACGCCGGTGGTGGGACCCATGGGGACGTCGGTGGTGGGACCCGTGGAGGTGCTGGTGGGACCCACAGGAACATCCACGGTGGAACCCGGGGAGATACCGGTGGTGGGACCCATGGGGACGTCGATGGTGGGACCCATGGAGATGTTGGTGGTGGAACCCAGGGAGATATCGGTGGTGGAACCCATGGGGACATCCGTGGTGACACCCATAGGAATGTCCATGGTGGAATCCAGGGAGATATTGGTGGTGGAACCCATAGGAACGTCTGTGGTGGAACCCAGGGAGATATCGGTGGTGGAACCCGTGGGGACGTCAGTGGTGGAACCCATAGGAACGTCCATGGTGGAACCCATGAAGACATTGGTGGTGGAACCCATGGCCAAGGCCGTGACGGGACTCTTAGGGACCTCCATGGTGACACCCACGGCCATGGGGACCTCCAAGATGACGCCCTGGATGACGACATCAGCGATGACACCCTTGGGGACCTCCAGGACACCTCCCGTGGGGACCTCGGTGGTGCCACCCCCAGGGATGGCCGTGCCCTTCCCACCTGCCCCACGTCGGGGACCCGCAACCGGTGTCCCACCCGTCCCACCGCCGTCCCCACCCCACCACCGGCCCCACGCCAGGCCCAGACCCACGTGGCCACCAACCCTGGAGGTGGCCCCAGGTCCAGAGGTGCCACCACCAGGTCCAGAAGGGCCACCACAGCGAGGTCCAGAGGAGCCACCGCCACCACAGCCGCGCCCACCACCTCCAGAGGGGCCACCACCAGGTCCAGAGGGGCCACCACCACCACGTCCGGAGGTGCCACCCCCATGATGGATGTCTCTGAACCATCTGGAGATGTTGCCACCACGATGGATGTCTCCAAAGAACCTGAGGCTGCCACCGCCTCCGTGGAGACGTCCGTGACTTCTGTGGGCACCGCCACCAGGTCCAGAGGGGCCACCACCACAAGGTCCAAAGGGGCCACCACCACCAGGTCCAGAGGGGCCACCACCAGGTCTGGAGGCACCACCACCACCATGGATGCATCCATAGATGCAACCACCACAGTGGATACAGCCAAACCAGCTGGAGGTGCCACCACCCGCTCCAGAGGTGCCACCACCAGGTCCAGAGGTGCCACCTCCACCAGAGCTGCATCCAAAGCACCTGGAGGTTCCACCACCACCACCATCCTCATCAACACCACCACCACCACGGCCGCATCCGAAGCCCCCGGAGATGCCACCACCACCACGTCCACTCCCAAAGCCCCTGGAGATGCCACCACCACCACCACGTCCACTCCCAAAGCACCCAGAGATGCCACCACCACCAGCAAGTCTGCTTCCAAAGCCACCGGAGATGCCACCACCACCACCACGTCCACTCCCAAAGCACCCAGAGATGCCACCACCACCAGCAAGTCTGCTTCCAAAGCCACCGGAGATGCCACCACCACCACCACGTCCACTCCCAAAGCACCCAGAGATGCCACCACCACCAGCAAGTCTGCTTCCAAAGCCCCTGGAGATGCCACCATGACCAGCAAGTCTGCTTCCAAAGCCCCCGGAGATGCCACCACCGCCACTACATCTGTTCCCAAAACCCCTGGAGATGCCACCACCACCGCTACGTCCGTTCCCAAAGCCCCCGGAGATGCCACCACCACCACCTCGGAAGCCCCCTGCTCGTCCTGCCCCCGCCCTGCTCCCCCGTTCCCCTGCGCCGCCTGCCCCAAATCCTACGGCACCCTCTCCAAGTTGACCATCCACCAACGGGCCCACACGGGCGAACGTCCCTTTTCTTGCCCGGATTGTCCCAAATCCTTCGCCGACCCTTCCGTCTACCGCAAGCACCGCCGGGGCCACGACGGGCTGCGTCCCCACCGCTGCGGCTCCTGCCCCAAGGCCTACGCCGAGCGCAAGGACCTGCGCAACCACCAGCGGAGCCACACGGGCGAGAGGCCTTTCCTCTGCGCCGAGTGCGGCAAGAGCTTCGGGAGGTCTTCTTCTCTGGCATGCCACCAGCGCATCCACGCTCCCCGCAAGCCCTACGCCTGCGGGACCTGCGGCAAGTCCTTCACCCAGCTCTCCTCCTTCCAAAGCCACCAGCGGGTCCACACCGGGGAGCGTCCCTTCCTCTGCCCGCAGTGCGGGAGGATGTTCTCCGACCCTTCCAGTTTTCGGCGCCACCAACGTGCCCACCAGGGCTTGAAGCCCTACGGCTGCGGCGAGTGCGGCAAGGCCTTCCGGCAACCGGCCGACCTGGCCGTCCACCGCCGGACCCACACCGGGGAGCGGCCCTGGCGCTGCGGGGAGTGCGGCAAAGCCTTCGTGGCCTCCTGGGACCTCAAGCGTCACCGCTTGACCCACGGCGGGGAGCGGCCCTGGCGCTGCGGGGACTGCGGGAAGGGGTTTTGGGAGAGGGCGGCCTTGGCCAAGCACCGCAGGACGCACTCCGGGGAGAGGCCCTACGCCTGCGGGCACTGCGGGAAGGGCTTCGGCGGGCCCTCGGGGCTGCGCAAGCACGAGAGGACGCACGGCAAGGGGGAGGAGGGGGGCGGCATCAAGGTGGCCACCGGTGGTGAGCTCAACATGGCCGCCGGAGCCACCCTCAACATGGCCGCCGGTGGTGGCCTCAACATGGCCGCCAGGTCTACCCCTAATATGGCCGCCAGTGGTGGCCTCAACATGGCCACCAAAGCTGGTCTCAATGTGGCCACTGGTGGTGGCCTCAACATGGCTGCTGGTGGTGGTCTCAACGTGGCCACTGGACCTACCCCTAATATGGCCGCCGGTGGTGGCATCAACATGGCCGCCAGTGGTGGTCTCAACATGGCCGCCAGGTCTACCCCTAATATGGCCGCCAGTGGTGGCCTCAACGTGGCTGCTGGTGGTGGCCTCAACGTGGCCACCAAACCTGGTCTCAACATGGCCACCAGTGGTGGCCTCAACGTAGCAGCCAGTGGTGGCCTTGACATGGCCACTGGACCTACTCATATGGCCACCAGTGGTGGCCTCAGCGTGGCCACTGGATCTAGCCCTAATATGGCCACCAGTGGAGGCCTCAATGTGGCCACCAAACCTGGTCTCAACGTGGCCACTGGACCTGGCCTCAACGTGGCCACCAGTGGTAGCCTTGACATGGCCACTGGACCTACTCATATGGCCACCAGTGGTGGCCTCAACGTGGCCACCAGACCTGGTCTCAACGTGGCCACCGGACCCAGCCTCAACATGGCCACCAGTGGTGGCCTCACTGTGGCCACCGGACCCGGCCTTGGCCTCACCGGAGGAGGTCCAGGCCTGGCCACCAGGCTCGGCCATGACTTGGCAGCTGGAGCTGGCCACCACACGGCCGCCAGAGGTGGCCACGGGATGGTTGTGGGTGCTGGCCATGGTGTCGGTGGCCAAGCCGGCCACGGTGTGGCCACCGGCGTTGGCCAAGGGATGGTGGGTGCCCAACTTGGCCACAGTATGGCCACTGGACTTGGCCATGAGGTGGCCAACAGAGGTGGCCACCAAGCTGGCCGTGAGGTGGCCACCGCTACCGGCAGGGAAATAGGTGCTGGGCCTAGTCACGACGCGGCCACTGGACTGGGCCACAGCGTGGCCACCATTTCTGGACCGGGGGCCACTGGAGCTGGTCCCGACATGGTGGCCCCCGTGGGCCACAAAGGCCCCAATTTGGTTGCCCCAAACATGGCGGCCTCCAACATGGCGGCCCCCAGCGGAGGCCCCGACATGGCCCCCATGGGGGAACCCAACATGGCGGCCCCCACGGGAGCCTGCCCGGCTACGGGGGGCGTGGCCACGCCAGGCCCCGCCCCTCCTCCGGAGCCCCGCCCCTTTGCCTGCCCCCTCTGCCCCAAGCGCTTCGGGGCGAGGGCGGGGCTTCGCA